TGCGTCATTGATATCATGCAATGACCAAAGTATGTTGTCATTTGTTAGGGCAAATTATGGCGGAAGGTTCTACTGTACCTGGCTAACGTGTGGCATCTGACAAGTCCTGTTACTGACCGCAAACCATCGGTTACGAGTCTGTGGCGAATTAGTTGACGGATTTTATCCCTTTATAACCAGGCCTAGGTAAGAAAAGAATAATCTGACTAACAAACTAGAACAATAGGTTTGGAAGCTACCATGCGTAGTTGTATTCAAAGAAAGAGTAGAAAGAGTGATTAGATAGATATTCATAAATCTGCTTTCGTGTTTACGTTACGTAGAACAGGCGACAAATTAAGTAAGGATCGCATGCCACGATAAAGGACGCCTGAATTTGTACTCCCTGACTGCTATGGTACTCTCGAAAGTCTTATGTGAACCAGAAAATGGTCAACTGACACAGAAATCATAGGTTCTTTCTAGTATGTATCACTTTCTGATGCTGTGACGATATCATGCCCACGAAGAATAATTCGATTAAAGTCTTACTTTGGATTGGGTTCATTACTGTTCTTTGAAAGATATGGCAAGCATGACTGGTAAGTGCTAATCGTAATTTTATACTCCTTGGGAACGGTCAGAAAAGAAAAGAACTACGTACAGCATTGCATGCTAGGACATAAATATGTTCCTTAACCGCTACTGTTGGTCATGGAAACCTGCTGTGAACTAGCAGATGATTAGTTTAAGAAAAGATGAAGTTAATCGAGGGCTGATAAATGTAATGTTATCAGTTTAAAGTTATTGAACAAGGTAGTTGAACTGAAAAACCAAACGATCACCTGAGAATGTATAAAAGTTATGGTTTTGAGGTATAGTTTGTAGCTGGTGTTGAACCGAACGTAAGGTTCATGTTTGAATTTGTAGATTACCACTGATTGATGTATTCAGTTTTTCGTATCATGTGAAATTGAATTTTGCAGATATCGTCCTGCGGTGTTCGGCAGTAAGTCTGACGTTGACATGTTCTGCCGTGAAGTGTCAATTCTGAGTCGATTAAACAGCCCGTACGTGGTCAGTTTCATCGGCGCTTGCTTGGATGACCCGAGTGTATGTCTCTTTATACTTGAAAGTGCCATGAAGTGCCAGTTCGAAAATTTAGCAATTTGCGATCGTCACTGGCTTCGTCGCAGGCGGTTCCTTGTTTAGCCTGCTCCACGAGCAAAAGAGGTATCCGATTTGTTATATTAACCGAATGAACATCTTACCGCCTGGCATTATCAGTAGCAGTTTTCATTTCTAGTGACTGTGATTAAGTTAATAAATCAGTGTGTCCTCTGTAAGTCTCCGTTCGATATTTCTTTTCTCATACTGCG